GACACAAAAAGGCAAGAGCTGTATATTCAGTGTTGAAAGAGCAGAGAGGCACCTCAAAGAGTCAAATGGCAAGGCTGGGAAGACAAGATGTGATCATTCCAAAGCAGAAGATGGTAAAAGTGGTCTGTGCGAAACTTAACAAAAGCATATTGAATGAACAGTACGCAATTTTGGAACCAAATGAAGAAACACCTTGGCCAGCTGGACTACAAGTAAAACAGCAATTGATACAGTTATCCAGTCAAAACAAAGCAGCTATTTCAGTGGTGGTCGAAAACAACACAGAAAATGATATTAGACTGCAAAACAGAACCATTCTTGGCTGGCTACATGCTGTAGATTCTGTCAAGGATGTTGAGGAAGAAGCCATGCTAGCACCATCTAAGCCACAAAAAGAAAATGACCAAGAGAGATCCTGCCAGAGTACACCAGAGGAGATGTGTGATGGAACAACATCCAATGGAAAACTCTGGGATCCACCGGTTGACCTCTCCCATTTAACAACAGAACAGCAGCAAAAAGTGAGACAGATGCTGAGGGAGGAGAGTGAGGTTTTTGCTCAGGATGACTGGGACACCGGATGTATTCCTGATCTTCAGATGACAATACGTCTCAAGGATGACATCCCAGTTACAAAAACATACAATGCCACCCCTCGTCACCTTTATCAAGAGGTGAAAAAGGACATACAAGATCTACTCAGCAGAGGATGGATCCAAAAATCAACATCCTCCTACTCATCTCCAATAGTGGTTGTGAGAAAAAAAAGACTCCTCTATCCGACTCTGTGTTGACTACCGACAGCTAAATGAAAAGACGTATCCTGATCGGCACCCCATCCCAAGAATTCAAGAAATCTTGGAGAATCTGGGAGGAAACTCTTGGTTTACCGTGCTCGATCAAGGAAAAGCTTATCACCAGGGCCTTGTCAGTGAGGAAAGTCGAGCATGCACCGCTTTCATTACACCCTGGGGATTATACGAGTGGCTCAGAATCCCTTTTGGACTGACAAATGCCCCAGCAGCTTTCCAGCGCTACATGGAGGGCTGCCATGGAGACCTGAGGGATGAGGTGTGTGTACCCTATCTTGATGATGTTTTGGTTTTCAGTCAGGACTTTGACAGCCACCTGGACAACGTGAGAAAGGTGTTGCAGAAGCAAAAAAAACTGTGGGATAAAACTCAGACCAAAGAAATGTGACCTCTTCAAAAGAGAGGTGTGTTATGTTGGTCGCATCATCTCCGAGGAGGGATACCGGATGAACCCAAAAGAGGTACAAGCTGTCCAGGCGCTGAAAAAAATCAAACCAAAGACAGTTAAAGAAGTTAGATCCCTTGTCAGTTTTCTGGGCTATTACAGATCATTCATTGCGGATTTTTCGAGGATCGCTAAGCCGCTTTATGAATTGCTGTCCCGCCCAAAAACTGAGACACAAAAGAGGAAAAAAAAAAGGCAGAGGGCACCATTCTCCCCAGCTTCCCCCATCTCAGCCCATTGAATGGACAGCATTACACCAGGAAGTCTTGGAGAGACTGGTAGACACACTGTCAGACCCCCCAATAATGGCGTACCCAGATCTTGAAAAACCATTTGTGCTTCATGTTGATGCATCTGAGGAGGGTCTTGGGGCTGTCTTATATCAGCGTCACGAAGGGGCACTGAGGGTGATAGGATACGGATCACGAACACTCACGCCGGCAGAGAAAAATTACAAGCTCCATTCAGGGAAATTGGAATTTTTAGCTCTCAAGTGGGCTGTGACTGAGCGGTTCCGTGATGATCTTTTCCATGCTCCTCACTTTGTAGTATACAGCGACAACAACCCTCTGACATATGTGATGAAAACAGCCAAACTAAATGCTGTGGGTCACCGTTGGGTATCAGAGTTAGCAGATTTCTGCTTTACTCTAAAGTACAGACCAGGAGCTGTCAACCGTGATGCAGACTTCTTATCCCGCCGACCAGCTGAAATAGAGGCTGTAATGACAGAATGCACAGAGGAGTGTAAACCCAATGACATCACAGCAGTCAAAGAGGGACTGACAGCCCAGAACAGGGGAGACACTGACTGGATCTCAGCCATCACCTGCAATGTGGACGCATTACCCGAGTTGACCACCACATGTGAGGAAACAGTTCAACCAATACCAGTCAGAGATATCCACGCAAATCAGAGGGAAGATGTTGTGATAAGCAGAGTAATCACTCTAAAACAACACCATGAATATCTTAAGGACAGGATCAGAGAGCCAACACCAGTGAAGCGCTTCCTGAGGGAGTGGTCTCATCTTCATCTGGATAAGGATGGGATCCTGTGGCGAAAAACGAACGCCCACACTCAGCTTGTGGTCTCTGAGAAGTTGAAGCCACTGATTTATAAGCAGCTGCATGAGGAAATGGGGCATCTGGGGGCTGACAGGATGATATCTTCGGCCCGAGAGAGGTTCTTTTGGCCAAATATGAGAGAAGAGCTGAAACACTACGTCACCAAAGTGTGCCGTTGTTTGAAACAGAAAAGACCAAACAGGAAAACAAAAGCACCTTTGCAAAGCATAACTACGTCGGCACCTTTTGAAATGATCTCCATAGATTATCTGCATCTGGAGAGAAGCAGAGGTGGAGTGGAATACATTCTTGTAATAGTAGACCACTTTACAAAGTTTGCACAGGCTTATGCAACATCAAACAAGTCTGGCAAAACAGCTGCACGCAAAATCTTTGATGACTTCATTCTGAGATTTGGATTCCCAGCCAAAGTCCACCATGATCAGGGGCGGGAATTTGAGAATGAGTTGTTTCGGAAACTGCAAAGCTACAGCGGAGTGCAGCATTCAAGGACAACCCCATGCCATCCCCAGGCTAACCCAGCAGAGCGGTTTAACAGAACTCTGCTGAGTATGCTTCGGACGCTGGAAGAGACTCAAAAACCAAACTGGAAGGACTATTTGAACAAAGTGGTTCATGCATATAACTGTACTGTTCACGAGTCAACTGGCTTTTCACCTTTTTTCCTGCTTTTTGGAAGGAAGCCTTCCTTACCCATTGACCTCATGTTTCCCAGAGAAAGCCCTGCTGCAGAGTCTCCTGCAGGATATGCTGAGAAGTGGCAAGCATCAATGCAGGAAGCGTACAGCACTGCACAGAAAAACATGAGAAAAGCTCAGGAGCGAGGGCAAAAACACTACAATCAGAGGACATGGAGCTCAGTTCTTGAACCTGGAGATCATGTCCTTATTCGTAATCTGTCAGAAAGAGGAGGACCAGGAAAAATACGCGCTTTCTGGGAGAACAAAGTGCATGTGGTTAAAGAGAGGCGGGGAGCAAATGGTCCAGTTTATGTGGTGAAACCATTGGATGAGGAGGGTAGAGACAGAGTCCTACACAGAAATCTTCTGTTACCTTGCCCCTACCTTGCTGAAGAACAGAACACTGAACACCTAAAAGGGACAGCTGAAGATGCCAAGCAGGTGAGAAAAGACATTCAGAAATCAAGAGCAAAGATCCAGACTGCTGTGGATAGTTCTGAAAGTTCAAGTGAAGAGGAGTATGCTGTTTGGATGCCTGGACGGGGACAAAATTGCTCGTTACAACCCACATGCTCCAGTCTTCCAGCCCAGGAGCCGGCCCTCTTGGAGAGAACAGAGCCAGCTACAAGAGAAGGTTGCTGTCACTTCAGGTGATGATCAGATGGATGAATCCAGAAATCTGGAGGAGGATTCCCAGGATCAGGGGAGGAGTCAGAGTCAGGACTCGGATTCTGAAGAGCAAGTCTTGGAATCCAGGGGGGACGAATTGGATGCAACGCCATCAGAAGACGGTCAAGGGTATGCGAGGGTCANGATAGGACTTCATTGAAATTTTCAAGGTGGCGCTGTGGAGCCATTTTGGCAGTGACGTGTCCAAGTCCCTTAAAATATCAAATTTTTCGCCAGTCCTGATGTGCGTGGTGATTTTGGTGAGTTTTAGGCCCTCAAAATCGCGTTTCAAAAGTCGGTAAAATAATAATAATAAATAATTAATAATTAATAAAAAATAAAAAATAATAATAATAATCACAACGGTTACAATAGGGTCCTTGCACTGGTGTGCTCGGACCCTAATTAAAGAAATTCAGAACACTCAAATACATAAATGAATAGTTAAATAAAAAAGAGATTAAATAAAATGAGTGGTGGTAGGACTCCGATGTACTTCATGTAATGGAGATTATGCTTGTTTTGAAAGTATTCAGGACAACAGCTGTAATTGGGAGATAACAGGTGTTGGTATTGTTGCTGGGGGCGGTCAGCAGGGGGCGCAAATGTTCGAAACTGTAGAAACAGTAGCCTGAAGTGTGACTGGAGAAGAATTCAGACAGGACACTTTGTCAGACTGACCATTTGTTTGGGATCACATGTATTTGATTTTGGCAGTGACTCTGCTCTCGTGATGCTCTGGAACAATCTGAGCAAGCATGACACAGAAAATCCCTGAGATCACAAACCCCCGACAATGTTCAAATGATACAGTGTGAACACAAGAACAAGGAGACCAACGTAATGGTCCTCACTTTATAAAATCCAATTTACATAGTTCCAAGGTACAACAATGAACCATCTGTATCCTACAGTCCCGCAATATGGGAAACAACCGGGGTTATGAAACTGAACTTTTAAAAGGGAGGTGGTTGGAGAGGAGGAGGAGATTTGTCAATCTGTAGGTGCTGGTGTGGCAGTGATGTGGTGAGCATGGAGCAGGCAGAATGAATGAACTCCGCCTCGGTTATAAAGCCGCTAATGGGTGGGCTGGACTTAAGCAGTGAATGATTAGACAGAAAGAGCCTTGTGACTCCCTGACTACGCCCTGACTCCACCCTGAGCTAACGCATAAGCTCTGTGAAGAGGACCGCAGGGGGATGTCAGTGTAAACAGTCAGCCACGTGCACTAGACTGTATAGCGCGCTCTATGTTAGCAGCTAGCTTCTCTGAGCCACTTCTGTTTAGATTGAATCCATTTTCAGCAAAGAAACACCTGCGTTTCCAGAACAGGTCAAAATTCTTGATGTATCTCAAACCCTGCTCCCTGCACACCGACTGGAGCCACTCGTGGAGGCTGAGGGTTCTGGAGAACAGATCCTCGTCGCGTTTCATTGTAGGAATGGGACCTGAGATGAAAACTGTTTTCCCACATGGTTGTAAAAATCTCAAAAGGAGGCGGAAGTCAGCTTTGGTCACCTCCGATTGTTGACGGAGAATGTCAATTGCTCCCACGTGAATAATGACTCTCTCGATGGATGGTTTCAGGGAAGGCAGCAGATCCTGGAGTTTATTCTGTATCATGGAAACTGTGGCTCCAGGGATACTGTGTATTTCTGCCTGGTAGACACGAACATTCTCAATGATTGAATCGCCGAGAATCAGAGTGGTGGGTGATGGAGACTTATTGCCTCCCCGCAGTCTAAATCTGCGACGGTAAGAAGACGACCTGCCTTGTTGTCTGGTCGGAGCCACAAGCGTGGCCACAGCCTCCAGCAGATCAAACACCTGCTGGGAGTTGCTGGAGTTGCGGTTGTTGTTGAGGACGTAACATCTGTCTTTCACGCTCCGGGGCAGGATCTTTTGCAGTCTGGTTTTGGTTCTGTTTAGCATCTGGACATCTGTCTCAGACTGGTCATCGTAGGTGAGGACTACGATGGTATGCCACCAGACGTTCCTTCCAAAGATCTCCTCCATCTGCCTCACGGTGTCTCGTTCTTCATCAATGTGGGTCCTCACCTTGATGACCAGCAGGAAGGTGTGGGGCTCCGGGGCCAACATGTCGGAGATCTCCGTCTTCACTTCAGGTGCTTCTGAGAGTCCAGGAGTGTCGACGACGGTCACCTCCCAGTCAAACACCTTCTTCATCTGCAGACAACACTGAGCATTCTCTGAGGAGAAGAAGCACAGTTTTCATGCAAAATTTTAATACAATCTTATTCAATCCTCTGAACTCCAAGCAGTTTCTGGGTATTTTTTAATTTGCTCCCGTCACATTTTTCTTCATCGTGAGCTTTTTATTTTTACTGCAATATAAAGTCCTGCACCTCTGTGAAACCAGAACAACCATGAAGAAGCAGAGAGAACTCATAAAATGTCTTCTGTGCAGAATGACACAGTCAGAATGCCATAAACCATAAATAATACAACTTAAAAGTTTAACTTCCATGAAATGTGGAAGCAACATTTTTACAAGCACACAAAGGTGTTACCAATACTGGAAAAAAGGGGTAGCTCCATATGGAGTAAACATCCAGTGTTACCTGCAGCAGCACCACCAGCACTGAAGGCGTCTGTTCCCAGTATGATGTTCCCACTGGAGCTCTTCCCTGATCCAGTCCTCCCAACAAGAACCAGTCTGAGGTCTGGCAAAGGAACACAGAGACACACAACATCAAATATACTGTTAAAAGAAAAAAATGAAGACATTAAAGGATCATTCGGCTTCATTTCCTCTTCGCTGAATTTTGAAGTAGTGTTCTGTTGTCTCTCTGGGGGTCATGCTGACTTTGAACTCTTTGCCTCAGTTGTAGACATTTAAGGAAACAAGGACAAAATGGCTACCTTATCGTGGTGGAGGGGTTTGCGTGTCCCTGTGATGCTGAAAGCTAGGCTGTAGGGGACAATAGCCCCTGGTAGGGTCTCCCAAGTATGGATGGGTACCGAGCCCTGGTATTAATCGAGCCCTGGGGCAAATTTCTAAATACCAGAGGATCAATAAACTCCAACGTGAACAGTTCTGTATGATTTTCAGAGCATCACCTGATCACTGGTTACTCATAATTTCAGTTTTACTTTCAGAGCACAAAGCAGCATTGGTTTCGTGATTTGAGGGCTGCAGACAAACTCTGTCTTACTTTATTCTCACTGTTTCACCGACTGAATGTTGGTGTTAGTGGTAGAAGAAGTACTTAAACTGCTTTCTTTGCTAAAACTATTAAAATCACACAGTATAAGTGCTGTCAAAGTTCTGCATTCATTTTAAACTCAAAGGTGAAGAGTGAAATAGGTTTTATCAACACGGACAAATTTAGAGTCACCAGTTGTTTTTGGACTGTGGGAAGAACCCAGTGAGAACCCACGCTGCATGGGGAGAACATGCAAACTCCACGCAGAAAGACCCCAGGCGTCCTCACTGGGCCGTGAACCAGATATCTTCTAGATTTGAGGCAACGGTGCTAAACACCGAGCCACCATGCAGCGCGGTAAGAGTAGTGGTACTGTTGTAATCTTAACGATACCATCCCTACTCCCAAGGTAAATTGGTCCTGTTGGAGGGACCAGAAAAAGAGCAATTTACATCATCCCAATGAAAGCAAGAAAAAGGAGAGCTGCCACCTCGTCCAGAATAGGGAAACCAGGGTCCCCTCCTGGGGACGAGGAGAGCTTGCCAGTAAGTGTCTGGTGGCTGACTTCTGCCCTGTGGGATTCAGTGGGGCACAGCCTGAAAATGGCAACATGAAGCCACCACCCATTGGGCCCACTGCCTGCAGAGCTGAAAACTGGGTTCGGGTGTTATGCCAACCAGGCATACCTCCCCCTGGTGGCATAGAATGGTTGTGGGGATATGGAACGTTACTTCACTGATGGAAGAGGAACCTGAGCTGGTGCTGGAGGAGGAGCAGTGCCGACTAGATACACTTGGGCTCCTTGGGAGGGGTTTGATTCTTTTCCAGACAGGCCTAGGATGAGAGGCTGAGATGTGGGGATACTGATCTGAACCCAACTGGTGTTCTGTTATTGGACTTCTGTACTAGACATAGCTTGGCCATAACGAACGCCTTGTTTGAGCAAAACGTGGCTCCTAAGTACACCTGATACCGGAGCACCTCAGGCCAACAGTCGATGATTGACTTTCAAGTCGTACCATCAGACCTGTCCACAGGGACATGTGATGAGAGGAGCAGAGCTTTCAACTGATCATCATCTAGTGATTTGTTGGATCTAACAAGTTAACAATTTCCCTGAGGTTTTACACCGAAGGGATCAATAAAGTTTTATTCTATTCTAACGTGAGGAAGGCTGTCAGACAGACCTAGAAAACCAAAGCATGTAGTGAGGTTGAACTGGGAATGTCTGACGGAGGCCCCTATCTGTGGGGTCTTCAACTCCCACCTCCAGTGTAAAAAGGCTGGTGAAGTCGGGGCAACACAGTGACTTGCAGCTGTAATACCTGTGAAACGCTGCTCTAGCGAACACTCCTTTTTCAGTGGAGAGTCACAGTCCGGCCACCAAAGTTTAACCTGGTCTTTCGCATCGTTGAAACTATCGAAAGTCCCGACTGATGGTTCATCTTGGTGGCAGAACCTGAGATTCTCTCTCAGTTTACCATCATCAAACTTAAGCACCTGAAAAAGAATTAAAGCAGAACAACACAAAATTTAGTGAAACCCTGAACTTTTGGTAATGCATCTGATGACATGAACTATAGGTAGCAGTGCATCAGTTTTCTTTTTTAACACGAAATGCCTGAGATGTCTACATAGAGAAAGCAGTGAAGATACCTGTTTGTCCACATGCAGGGCGATGGCGACATTATCCCAAATATAAAACACTTTCCCATCAAGCTGTAGAGCGTCCATCTGTTTCATTTCAGGTCTTTCCACCAGCTCATACCTGACGAGAAAGTCAAAAAGCAACAAACGACACTATAATCAACTACACAACCGAAGTGAAAGCAGTTTTCAGAAAGTGAGTATATTTTCACACAGTCGGTAGATCCTCCTTCTATTGGTGTTCTGGTTTTGGCTCTTTTAGTTCAGTCCATTACATTTATCCGTTTGTAGGTCTTACCGGTGTGTCT